AATTACCATAGATAACATTACGCGTAGATACATTACGATAGAATACATTACGATAGATACAGTTACGGAGTAGATACATTACCGATAGATACATACACGAGTAGATACAGATACATTACGATACAATACATAGATAATAATTATATAAACAAAATATTATATAAAACATTACGATGACAGACATAACAATCGACACACTCACCCTATATCGAAGAGAACGAGAAGGATCGGATGGTGAAGTTGTAGAATGTGAGTCACCGATGCAAGCCCAATAGTTCGGCAAGCTCTGCCAACACGAGAAACCTGCGAAGAGAGTTGGAAAAGAAATTGTGAGAAAGAAAGATCAGCAATCGAAAAAGAATCTATTATCACTATCCTTTATTAAGGATAAGAAGGGTATGCAGGATATAGGTGGGATGAAGAATAAGCCATAATCCGTGATCGAAAGTCCTGGCCGCCATATTTGAGATCAGATATATTATACAACTGCCCTTTTATAACATTGTGATAGGATAGCAACTGGTCTAGGTTTTTGATCAATAATTCTCCTTCACTAAGCTATCGTACTTTAATTCACAGGTGCGTTTCTGTTTACAGTAACATTTAAAAAATATGATTGTGTCATTCTGGAGATATTTTTGGGGCAATGTTTGTGTTAATGCAAAACCGAAAAACCCACGGCGTTTAGCAATTTTAATTCATACATGTACTTTCCAAGCGTGGCCGCTGGCCATTTTATACCGCCCCTTTTTCTGTGACCTAAGTTAGCCACAGCTGCGACTTTCGATCTCACTTATCCCGACGAAATATAGGCTTGCGAAACAATACAACCCCCTTCTAACTATGTACACAACAGACGAATACCAACCTGCTCAACATCAAATGTATCTTTTTTACATCATAGATGAAGATCACCCACACTCCCTACTCTCTCTGGCTCTCTTTATATATAGTATATATATTATATAATATATATCTCTCTCTCTCTCTCTCTCTCTCGCTCTCTCTCTCTCTCGTCTCTCTCCTCTCTCTCTCTCTCTCCTCTCGTCCCTCTCCCTCTCCCTCTCCCTCTCCCATCTCGCTCTCAGCCTCTCGCTCTCGTCTCTCGCTACTCAGCTCTCGCTCATCGTCTCGCTCGCTCGCTCTCTCTCTCTCTCTCCTATCTCTCTCTCTCTCTTCTCTCTCTCTCTCTCTCTTCTCTCTCTTCCTCATCTCTCTCTCGCTCTCCTCTCTCTCTCTCTTCGGTTTCTCTCTCTCTTTCTTTCTTTTCTCTCTCTCTTTCCTTCTCTCTCTCTCTTTCTCTCTCTCTCTCTCGCGCGGCCTCTCTCTCGTCGTGATATACTCTGTCTCTCTCCTTCGGTTCCACAAGACTCGTCAAGACGACATTGCGATCTACGTACGTTGCGACGGAAGGACGTGCATGTGCATCGTATGATAATATATTATAGATTGGAGATTCCACTATAACGCCGCTACATCCACGGAGGACACCGTGTGCAACGCACAAAGCTAGCGCGCCCATTCGATCGTTTATGCATAATGCGACAATCAGATCGATTAACAACTATAATTAATCATTATTACCCGCAACCACTGGATAACATCACAGATTGACAACAGATGGTGCTATGCATCTCGGTGCTCTCTCTCTCTCTTCCTCTTCCCCTCTCTCTCTCGTCCTCTCTCCTTCTCTCCTTATATAGACATCTAACCTCTCTCTCTCTGCATCTCTCGTTGCCAGGGTAACGCAGGCATCCTCATGGCGCTGCTCATCGTCCTCATCACCGTTCTCATGGCTCTCTTCTCCGTCGTCTCGGCGATCGGAATCCTCGAGCGCTGCCGCGTCGAGAGCGGCGGCGTCTACTACCTCATCTCGTACGTGCTCGGCGCGCGCGTAGGGGGCGCCGTCGGCGTCGTCTACGTCTTCGGAAACGCCGTCGCCTGCGCGCTGTTCGCGACCGGCTTCGGCGAATCGATGACGTCGCTGACGGGGATCGACACCGCCGGCGCCCCCTGGGCGGCGCGGGGGATTGCCGTCGCCGTGCTCGCCGTGCTGCTGGTGTTCAACGTCGCCGGCGTGAAGTGGGTCGTGAAGCTGCAGCTCGTGCTGCTATTGGCGATCCTCGTCGCCATGTTGGATCTCGCCGTCGGCTCGTTCGTGCGCGCCGGCGGCAGCGCAGGGGGCGCCGCCGAGCCGCCGGCGGTCGTCGGGTGGAGCCGCGCGGCGTTCCGCGAAAACGCCGCGCCCAACTACACGGAGGGCGAGTCGTTCTTCGCTGTCTTCGGAGTCGTGTTCTCGACGGCGACGGGCGTGTTCGCGGGGATCAACATGAGCGGCGACCTGCGGAACCCGCGCCGCGACATCCCCGCCGGGTCCCTCGCGGCGATCGCCGTCGCCGCGTCGCTGTACGTCGGCAACGTCGTCGTGCTCGGCGGCACGTGTGCGCGCGCCGCGCTCCGCGACGACTACATGATCGCCGAGCGCGTCGCCGCGCTCAAAGTCCCGTGGCTGGTCGGCCTGTACGTGTCGTCGCTGTCGTCGTGCCTCGGCGCCCTCTACGGCGCGCCGAGGATACTGCAGAGCATCGCCGCGGAGGGCACGCTGCCGCGCGTCCTCGCGCGCGGCCGCGGCGCGAACAGCATCCCCGTCGCCGCCCTGGTGGTGGTCGTCGCCGCCGCGCTCGTCTTCGTCCTCGCCGGCCGCGTCAACTCGCTCGCGCCGATCGTCACGATGCCGTTCATGGCGACGTACGCGTGCGTCGACTACGCCTACTTCGCGCTCGCGATGACCTTTGACATACAGCGGCGGCGGGAGGAGCGACTCGGGAAGGCGGCGGCGGCAGCAGGGGGCGCCGGTGCGGCTCCGCCTCGCGCGGGGTCGGCCGGGGATCTCGATCGCCTCTTCCCGGAGCGACTCGAGAATAAGGGCGGAGACGCGGCGGCGGCGGCGGCGGCGGCGCTCCGCCCCGGGGTCGCCACGTTCGAGCGGCGCCCCTGGCGGCGTCGGCGTCGCGCGAGAGCGTCTCGCGAGCACGCGCGCGAGCGACACGTCCGCGCTGCTCTCGCCGACGTCGCCAGGGGGCGCCGCCGCTCCTCCCGCGGCGGCGGCGCCGCGGATCGAGCGTCAGCCCCGCTCCTGGTACTCGCTGCTCTGCAACCGCTGGGTGGCGCTAGCGGCGGCCATCGCCAAGGTCGTCCTCGCGTTCGCCGTCGACTGGGCGTACGCGCTTGCGTGCGTGGCCATCGTCGGCGCCCTCTATATCTACATCGGCCGCGCCGCGCCCGGACTCACTCCGGGAGTCGCCGAGTTTTCGTTCGTCGCGTGGGCGCGCACGGGGTGGCGCCGCTGCTGCCGTCGCCACGACGACGAGGACGGGGAGCCGTACGTCGTGGCGCCGGCGCACCCTGGTGTCGCGACGACGGCGGCGCAGCTCACCGAGGACAACGACGACTTCTCCGCCAGGGGGCGCTACCACCAGAAGACGGTCGTCAAGGGGCAGCCATTCGTCGACTCCGACTAAGGCGGCACCCTCTGGTGGTTGCCTCTAGGTGGCGCCGCATGCCGCTTCAAAGCCGTTGGGCTTTTCGGGGCGTGGCCCCCTCCGCCTGTTTCTCCGCCCCCTTAATGCGTACCCCGCCCCGCCCCACGTCTTTCTGGCCTAACCAGTATATCGAGTGTGTAACGAAGTATTAAGAGTTAAACGATCGTAACGAGGTAATTAGCATGTCGCGTCGTTAGCCCTCCGCTCTTTCGCCGACGTCTGCTGGGGCTGCGGTGGCGACCCCTGGAGGAGTCGGAGGCCCCTCCCCCTCTCCCCCCGTAAGATTCGCTTTTTTTCACCCGCTAAGTCTAGTCAGAGAGTCCGACAATCAAAGAAATCGCCTCGCGATCAATGGTGACGCGGGTCAAACGATGAAACGTTTGCCGACTCGCGGTCGATAAAGTAAAAACATCCGAACATCTGACGTAAACGTTGATAAAACTTACCGCCTCGTCGACTTTTCCGTAGTGTAAACCCATATTAATGCGAACTGGAATTATCCGTAGTGACTATATGCAGGCAGATAGATGAGTGTCACTGTAAGCAAACTGATATGTCCCGTATGATATCAGCAAGAGTACATAATCGATCTTGATATCAGGAAACGCTGTCTTTGTGCAACGTAGGTGTTGCTGATAATGTAGACCAACGTCAACACGTATTGACGACACGTCACAACAATGTGTACACCCGTTATTTATTTATGTGCGTCATCTAACTATCTATATTTGTATACATGTACGTTAATGTCTACCTATATGTATATATAGTCGGGGTTCTCCAAGCTTTTTCATTATAGCATGGCGGGGCTGCCTTTACGGTCCTAGTTTTAGCATGTTTTAGCTAATTTTAGCATGGCGGCTATGATATTTAAAGTGGCGGGTGCATTTTAGGATGGCGGGTGCATTTTAGGATGGCGGGGCTCGACGATAGCCTGGCGGGCCGCCAGGCTATAAGTGCTCTTGGAGAACCCTGATAGTGTGTATGTATAGTATATATATAAATATGTATATGTATATATATACATAGCTGTCGGTCATGTCATGTATATATATATATACATAAGTGGTAGGAATTTGTAGTAGGTGCATGGTGTAGTAGTACTTAGTAGTAAATTGATTGATTGATTGGTAGGTGCTGCGAAGTACGAAAAAAAACGCATGAAGGTAAAAAGGCTGCGGTGGGACTTTTGCAAGTTACCTGATGTTGCTTGTATGCAACCCTCCGTTAAAGCCTGTGTGTACACGTGCGCATATATATTTATGCACGTGTGCGTGCGTGCGTGTGTGCATGCGTGTGCGTGTTTGCATGCATGTATAGGTACATATACTTCATATGTAATCATTTCACTGCCAAAGAAGCATAATTTATGCTGGAGATATTACGTTTAATTTTACGTTAAATCGCTCGATTCATTTCGTCCCTATATATATATATATATACGTGTTTGTGTGTACATCGTCTAAGAAAATCGTTGCAAAAAAGGGAATAGCGAAAAAAAGTGTCGAAAAAATGTCGAAATGCATGTAAAGAATCGAACACAAATCTTTCATTGTATTTACGGCATACGATCATTCCAATCAAAGATTTAAATTATAATTTATTTATTTTTAAGATTCATTTCGGAGATGAAAAGTCAGTATTGTTGCTGTATTGTTACATCGCGTGTTTTGATTTTATTTACTGTCGTGTGATCACAGTCGAAGACCAAAGTACTTATAACCGAAAAACCTGCGAAAACGCGTTGTCGCGGTAACCGTTGTTGGTAGCTTTATTTTCCTCACGTGGTGTTCGATAGGTGGTGATACACTGCGAGATTTTTCCCTCGCGCGCTCTTGTGTTATGCCGCCCCGGAGACGCGTGGCGGAAAAAATTCCAGCGGTCGTGCCGCACTATAATCGCGTTGCTGTTGTTGTTGTTGTTGATGTTGCTGTTGTTGTCGTTGTTGATGTTGTTGTTGTTAAGATTTATCGTTGCTCGCTGTGAGGGTTGCAGAGCATTGGTTGGTGTTTTAACCGCTAGGGCGGCGCCACGTTACGATTTTGGAAGAGTGGCCATGATTTTATGATGGAGAGCGGGGCGTGCATGTGATTTTGAACATGTGCATTGTTGTCGGGCGATCCAACAACGGTCACGTGAAGTTGATGTGATGGCGTCGCTTGAATTCAACTATCTATGGCTCTCTCTCTTTTACTCTCTATTTGTGTCTGTGTGTGCTTGCATGCATGCAAGCCGTTAAAGCACAGCATACCTCTTACATATGTTGCATGAGAAAACCTATAAACAAAGTCTATCATATATATATATACATATATACATACATATTATATCTATATCTCGATATGTGAATGTGGTTTTACGGTAAATACGTACAGGCTCTTCTGGCTAACAAATCTACGAATATACGTGCGAGCGATCGGTGCTGCCCTCTACAATGTGTATATATTGAGGAGAATGAGCATTCGAGTCACCCTATCCGTCTAAGTGAGAACCCCCCCCCCCTGGATATTGTTGCTAAGTCAGGCAAGCCTGTATGCAATAGCATCTTACGCTCGCACTTCAAATTGTTCACGTACAGGGTTCCGTTGTCAGAGGCATAATTAGTTTCAACGTTATAGTCTTAACATTGAGTAGCCAAATTAGTCTTGACATGGACTTTTCCTTGTAGACTGCACCCGCGTTCTCTGCGCGTGAAAAACTCGTAACTTCACCACGTTTCTGTCGACAGTCTACGGGAAAGAGTTGTCAAAGTTGAAAAAATGTTACGACTGATTTTACGAATGATTTTCGTTTCTGAAAACGGACCCCCGGCACTTCGTTGCCGAGCAGTGTTCTTAGAATGGTCACGTCGCAGCGATGATTGGCCACACCTGCCCGGAAACTTTTACCTGTTTGCTTCGCGAAAACGAATCGTCGTTGCACGTCTCTCGCAAAATCTTCGAAGCCGCCGTCGCCGCGGCAACCGGAAGTTGGACCCGGTCGATGCTCGGCGCGCTCTGCATCGAATCCTCGGTCAGGCTCGCGGTTGCGTGGTCAAGGTCGTACTTAAGTTTAAGGTCGCGAGTTGTAATTCTGTGTAAGAAATGCGTCGGTATCGAGACGGAAGTTGGAAATAAAACACGATGTGACATTTCGTGAAGCACGGCTGTTCCGTTGTTTTGTCTGTTCCGTTGTTTTGTCGACCGCGATTCTCTCTTCTCTCGTTGTTCGATCTGCGTTCGCGCGCGACGGCGCAACTTGCTTGCAAGATTTACCTCGTGTGTGGCGGCATGTGTCATCTGCTTCAAAATTCAAATTGAACAATTTAAAAAGTAAATTGTTTAACAGTTCAGCTTTTTCAGACTGCGCCGTATAAGCTACATTGTAGTATATACTTTTTATATTGTGTAAACTTTGCCCGCAAACGAATTTGATTGCAGGAAAACATTAAGGTGAGTAGGTGGTAAAGTGAAAGGGGTTCGGGCAAAAATGGCATCAATTCAGCCTCCTCCATTATTTACTATCCAATTTTTATTATTTATTTACTTATTTATTTATTTAGGGTATTATCTATATATACATTCAATTGTAATATAATATTCCAATTTTAAATTAATGAAATTAGATAACTACCAAGGATATATATACACACAAAATATCACGTGCACACTTATTTACATTGCGGTCCTTGCTACGTTGCTATCTATCCAATAGTAGCAGCGCGTTTCATCTAATATGAAGTCATCTCCATGTGAAGTCACATACTTTTGAAGACATATCTAATAATCTGATAAATTATGTATATCTGATAATCTGGACAATCTTGATAAAATGCTTTATGTATATGCAATAATTCTGCAATTAGTAGGATTCGTTGCGAAACTTCGATTTACCTGTCGTTATTCCTCTACGAACAGTCCACGACGCTCCCTCGTCTATCCCAGGGACCTTCTCCCATTTTTGTGTGTAGAGAATGGGTTTCTCTGTGTGAATAAGGCTTCATTTGCCTTCTATTAATATTATGCTTATCACTTCCAAATTACCATCTGCATTTTGTTATCATTGTTATCTAATCGTAATTTCGTAAAACGTTTCGGCCGAAATTGCTAGATTATGCACAAATTCGCGCTTAGTTTCCGCGCAATGTTAAATCAAAAAGTAAAAATAAAAGTAATCATCCGCTGCCCGCGGTATGCGAAAACATTTCTTATTGGCTCTCATCTGCATTATCGATAGAGGCGTGACGATTTGTTATGGGTCGCGTAGACAGGTACCCGGTCCCACCTCTCGGCCCATCGAGTAATCGAGGTGGGAGCAAGTACCAGTCTATGGGTCGCGGACATCGACGTCACACTCAGCTTTGTCGCCATTTTAATATTTGGAAACGAATGATTTCCACGAATATCTCGTTTATCACGTTTTAGCGAGCGCTGGTTTTACCAAAATCGCACACAGTGAGTACCTCTGGGTCACTCCACACCAGACACCATGACTATTTTACCGAAAAAGAAGACCTCGAAGGAGAAAAACGACGGAGAAAATGTAGCTGACCACACGAACAAATCCAGTCTAGGTCATCGCGATCCGACCCACCCAGTGCACGGTCGGACGAGTCGAGCTCGCAACTCCCCTCCACACTGGCCTCCGCACGGATACAGGGAGGAACAGAGAACTCCGCACGATCCGGGCCCGAGCGTCGAGCCCGTGGATCGTCTGGAGGGACCCGCCCCGCAGAATAAACGAAGGCACCTGGTGTCTCCACATCGCCATCACGCCCGAAAACATCGATCAACAGCGCAGCCCGTCGCTGGCCCGTACGAACAGAGCTTTCAGATCGTGAAGGAGCCGTCGGCGGTCGAGATCGAGAGAGAACTGGAGATTGACGTGTCTGGATACAACAGCGGAGACGAGTACGCACTGCCTGCTATCGACATGGAGGAAGAGGAGGAGGTAAGATGGGGAAAGGAGGAAGGTGGGCCCAAGGATAGAGAACATAGGTCCCAATAAAACCAATGGGCCTAACCCTAACCCTAAT